GACATCTAAGAATGAATAATGGCAGTCTAGCTGGCTGAATTGTTTTAAAGTTATAACATGCCTATAAAATGATGAGAACTAACTGGACTTTCTTTAAAATTTTCTGTATATTGAGGAGACTGAAAAATAGTAAGTAAAAAGTACCAATTTTTAAGAATGAAGAATAGCAGTCTTGCTTGCTGAATTATTTTAAACTTTTAACATGCCTATAAAATGATGAGAACTAGCTTGCCTATCTTTAAAATTTCCTGCATGTTCAGGAGACTGAAAAATAGTAAGTAAAAAGTACCAATTTTAAAGAAATAAGTTTTTTATTTATCCAACTGTACTACAGAAAAAATGCGCAGATCTGAAAACCAGACGATCGTTTTATCGAGTTCCGTATAGGAGGCTACCAATCAGTAACTAATTTCTGGCCCTTTGTGGAATGCGCGGCTGCCAATCCAGGACTAATTACAGAAGGCAGGTCCACCCAGGGAATTATAAAGATGTGAGGCTCCTCGTCCTGACTACACATTTATTACCGCAGTTTCCTTTTTGGAGATGTGCAGAATTAGTTTGTTGGAAACTGGGACAAGTCGTGATCAGGCAAGTTGTGGAGGAGAATTGAGAGTTAGGCTTAGGCTTAGGGAAAAATGTTGTGTTTCCTGTTTCAGTCCTGTAAAAATTAGGGTCGGTAGGTAGGGATTATCTTTTTTTTACCTCTCTAGTATCTAACTTATACGGTTTTAGTAAAACTTGCATTTTTAATGTCAATATTAGAAAACTGATTGTACGTTATTAACTTTTTTCCAGACTGAAATCCTTTTTATCCTGACTTTAGTTTAATGTATGAAATCAAAATTTTGTACACTGAAATCTTTTCAGGAAACATTGCCAATTTTATTTCTCTTACACGTCATAATTCATACTAAAAGCAATATGAATAATCCATTTTGTGAAGAAATTGTTTTTTAAGAATATGGAAAATTTCTCAGACTGATCTGGATTACATTATGTAACACCCCACATGTGGTTCAGCTCACCTGACATGTTTACTACCAGCTAGTGTAAACATACATCCCTGTATTTACACTAAGTAAGTGTAAACATGCCTACTTGTTGTAAACCTTTCATATACTGTATATTCATATATTTCAGCACATAATTTCGTAGTGGAAGGGGAAAGAGGTTTTCCTAGTGTTTCACAGTTTAAACAATTATGTAGTGAATCAGCAATACATTGGAAATGCATGTTCACAGTTTCATGAATTTGTGGTGGACACTTAACCACAAAATTCAAATCACAGGTAACATTTGAAGCTGTACAGTATAAGAAGCAGGTCAGTCATTAGCCTAATTTCTCCTGGAACTTGAGCTTACCTCCCACACAGAAGAGTAGAGTTTATTAGTAAACACTGAGGAGTGTGGAGGGATGGGGAACAAAACTACTGGGCAGTTTCAGTGGCAGGGATATCGGGGCAGTTTTATCTGTCTTTAGGTCATTTATGTTTACCTTTGCCAAAGGGAACAGTTTTTTTGTCAGTTTTTTCTTCTTCACCAAGTATATAAGGACCTGGTCAATGACCTAGACCAGAGGGCTATCACCATGGTAACTGGTGCTGTCACCCTTTGGTGTTGTGTAGCAAGTGGCAGGAAAATTAGAGGGGGCTGGACACAGTATATACATGAATACGTTTGAGTAAGAATAAACAGAGCAGTTTTTTGGGGCTAGACCAGGTGAAGGTAAACACCATGTATTTGCTACTGTTACCTTTCTAGTATTTGTCCATTTTAGCCCACCCTCTTACAGATATTGCAAGAGAAGTCAGTTTTTGCTGGAGGGAGTGTCCTACAACATTTGAGTATTTTCCTGACTTGTGTGGAAAGTTCCTCTGATGTGTCTGACATGTTGTACAGATAGTGAGGAAACTGGGCCAGCTAACTGGGCCACTAGGCCACAGGGCCAGCGGCCAATCTGCTGGAGATGACAGATCAATAAGCAGCTATAGGTAACCATGGTAACTAGAAGCATCTACTGTAGTATTGTCACAAGGCATAAGCTTCACACAGTCAGTAAAAAGACAGATCCTGTATACGTACTTTTGATTTATAAAGGCATCTATAGACATGTTGTATGATGATCAATGAATCATTTCTTGAGGCAACATCTGCTAAAATGTGGAATTTTTTTTAAAAAGAAAATGTATGAAACAAAAATTCTTTTGTTGGTCCAACTGCTAATTTTCATGGATTGATTTACCATTTTTCTGAATGTATGTAATTTTTGCATAATGCATTTTCCCCACCCCTGCCACAACTGTCGGTCTAGTCCGTTCTGTCCATTACTAGAGGTGAGCCTGAGTTAGAACTAACGGCGCGACCTTCCTTAGCGCGACCTTCCCTGCTGACCTCCCGCGCCCTATCGCTGTCCGTCAGCCTGCCCGTCTGTGCACGAAAGGTCGCGCCGATGATGTGTGGTGCCGACATCACCAGCCGACCTACTGGCTTTACAGATAGTCAGGGAAAAGTCGGGCTGTACTAGCCTGGAGGCCAGACCCGTAGCATGGTTGGGAAGAGACATGTCCATATCCAGAGTTAGCCAGTATGCTCAGGGTAATTTTTTCTTGGCCCTAGAGCCAAGGAGCTGGACTGTGTAGGTCCTGGAAACAGTCTGGTACCCAGGCTAGTATGTTGGCCCTAGAGCTGAGGAGCTGGCCTGTGTAGGCCCAGGAAACAGTCTGGTATCCAGGCTAGCATGTTGGCCCTTGAGCTGAGGAGCTGTGCTGTGTAAGCCCTGGAAACAGTCTGGCATCCAGGCTAGGCCTGGAGCTGAGGAGCTGGCCTGTGTAGGCCCAGGAAACAGTCTGGTACCCAGGCTAGGTTGTTCTAGAAGAGCTAGCCTGTTTGGGCACTGGAAACAGTCTGGTAACCAGGCTAGGTTGCGCTAACTGTACATGAATGTCTCCCTGGTTAAGCTGGCCTGTGTAGGCCCAGGAAACAGTCTGTGACCCAGGCTATAGGTTGCCCTAATCGTGCGTGGATGTCTCGCTGGGTTTACTGAAGGATTTTGGGCTGTCTGCTTTCATTAGCTGGGATGACCTTTGTGTCCGCGCCTCGTTCTGGGGTTATCCGTGGCGAACGCTAATAAAACGTAGCGGAATGGGTCCAGACGTGACATGACGTCTTGACAGGTGACAGCATCTGAAGGATGAGTTTGGATCAAGGCTGGTTAGTTTGGAGAACCACAAGGTGACTTAAGAACTCCTTCAAAACTTCTTGTGGGAGTTTTTTAAGTCCTTATTGGATTTAAGGATGAAGTCAAGATGGATTGGTGCTAATGTTGTAGTCCCAAGTCCAAGGACTGGGAGTAAACAAAATATATCAGCTGTGGCAGTAGGGGAAAAACAGTGATACAAGAAAAAGCTCTGTAAAGGAAATGGGGGGGGGGGAGGACAAGATGGTAAAAGAATATAAATGATGATATATAGGGTGGAAACATGGCTGGAAAGATGTCCTAATATGAATCTACCATCTTGTCTCCTAGCTAACGACCTTGGGCGACCTTGGGGTGACCCCTGGTACGTCTCTGACCTCTTCAGATGTCGTAAGGTCACCCCCGGAAGGTTTTCGCCTCTTCTGTCTGCCAAGACGTCTTCCGAGTCGTTCTGTATGCAGGAATGTTCCAACTGTCTTGGTGTCGACCTCTGAGATTGACCCTGTATTGAGATAAATCTGAAGATGACTTTGTGAAGTTGTCAACCTGCCAGGCCAGTCATCCAGGCGTGACTTCAATCTCAGCTCAGGTTATGGAAATATGAGCGTCTAGAAAGGACTGTTTCTGCTCCAGAAATGATATTTATGACTTGGGAGGTTTCCAAGATAAACTGGCCATCAGCGGTCTTTTGAAACATCTCTTTGAGACTTCAGGGTTTTTTTTTGTCTTTGATACATTTTTCTACAAGTTTTTTTCATCTTTTCCTCAGGAAAAAGTAAATCTTGTGACAATCTTGTTTCTCCTGTAACTAGTTCTGTTGAAATACTATCTTAAGTTTGTGAACTTTTGGTGCAAAAGTCAGTATAAACGTGTGAGTGACCTGGAACAGATTCAAGTTTCTTCCAGTATCTTAAGATTACGGCAAGATGGATTCTACAATAGCCAAGACACCTGCATCTCAGGGAGCAGAGACTTGAGGTGATGTCTTGGCATCCTAGGGAATCTTGAAATCTTGAGACGTTTTCTGCCTCTTGTCTCTCCTCCTTCCGACAGCCCAGGACCTTTCCCTGACCACGGCTCAGATTCCTGCCCTCTGATGTCATCATCACCATAGTAACCATTGCCATGGTTACCCCTCAGCCCCAGTTGTCAGATGGTTTTTCCAGGCTGTGATGTGATGTTTATGCTGTGTATCTAGGCTAAGAAAAGGGTGTTGTTTTTTGGTTGTGGCTGTGTATTAACAGTTTCTTTCATTCATACTGTGTATAGCGGCTTTTCATATCGTTTTCGTGATGCAAAAGAAGAAGAAGAAATACTTGTAGGTTTTCAGGTAAAAACAGTTGATACTAACCAGTTGCATTTACCGTATATTGTAGCAAAAAGCTTGAATGCATTGAATTGGTGCAGTCTACTTTTACTTGTTTAGTATTTTAGCTGCAAAGTAGGAAAAGTTTGATGTATTTTCTGTGATGAGTACCAGTGCCAGCTTGGCGTAGGTGGCCATGATTTGTACCGAAAGATTTCCTGTCCCACGTAGGTGTTAGCTGCTTCCTACAGCCCTGCACGTCAGCAGAACGTACTGCACCTGCACAAAACCCATAATGTATTGTGCATAGCACTTCTGAAGAATATCAGATTCTCATATAAGGTCGTATTTGCATATAAGGTTAACATCCCGTCTGTAGTTTCCAAATGTTGAAAAGAGATATCGTCTGCAACAGGCAAAATTCTGATGCAACATGGACCAAAAATCCAATGAAAACTGTGAAAATGGGGGGTCAGTGTTCTCGCCAGGCCTTTTGAGCATTTTTGGACCCCTATGCTGTGTTTCAACCAGCATAGGGGTGATTTTGGATGGAGAACCTTCATAAATCTTGCAAAAAATGAAAATATAACTTTAGAATGAAGCTATAGCTATTGCAGACATGCCAGCCCAGCCCAGCAGTAGTGTTTGGTGTTTCCCACTCGTGTGATTACAGTTGTGTGTAGGGAGCAGGATGGAGGGACCATTACCCTGATTAGATTAGACCAGGCACTTACAGGTTAATTTATTACCACTCCTCATGTCTGCCCATGCTCCAATCTATGGGCATTACCGCTAACCAGGGCTGGGGCATACCAACGCAGAAAGGGAGGGGAGCTCTCTTCTGCTGCCAAAACGACTCGCAATATTCTATTTCTATCTTTATTGTGAAGATCAGGCCAAGGCCTGATATTTAAAGTTTAACAAGTACTAAGTTATACAAATATAAAGGTTTAAAATTCAAATATAAAACTTCAAATATGCAAAAGTTAAACCTCTTAAAGCAATATATATATGTAAAGGTACATACATGTATATAATAGACCACTATAGACAGGATTGTGAATGTTTTGGTTAATAGGGAAAGTGTTTCTAAGAGTAGCAAAGCAGTATGGGTAAAGGGTCGAAGTCTGCCATCTGTAATGCCCTTGTTTGACCTGTATTTTCTTGACCCCCCTCCCCTGTAATGGTTAGTCCTGACCTGGTAGATTGGAGTTGTAGGGAATGTCTCCCCCCTCCCCTGTAATGGATCGTCCTCACCCAGGTAGATTGGAGTTGTAGGGATGGTCTCCCCCCTCCCCTGTAATGGTTCGTCCTGACCCAGGTAGATTGGAGTTGTAGGGATAGTCTGGGTGATTTGTTCCCATCTTACACCTCCCTAGAGGACACGGATACAGGCTGGACAACTGGGTCTGAATTTATTATCGTTAGCCAGAAAATATGGGGCCATTTGGACTGAAAGGGCATCGGTGGTGGATGTACAGATATTCCTAGAGGGGAAGGTTTTCTGTGTCTAATTTTTCATGGTAGATAATAACAATGTTTCTCCATTTATACTGTTCCTTTGTCGTGGCCTGTATGAAATTATAAGTGCTTGAGTAATATATTTTGGGCTAGAGCCAAATGCAGGAAGACCTTTACTTGGGTTGAGGTCTGAAACACGGTAATACCATTTTGGTAGTAGACCTTTAAAATTAGAAAGTGCGAGATGGAATTAGTTTATTTTATCAAGTTAAGGGAATAAGATAGTCATCTTTAACCAAGCCAAGCTCCTTTCAAGTAGCTGCTCCTGAGTAAGAAGTAATAACGTTTCGTCCACACGCAGGTCCTTGGGGGAAAGTAACTGAAAGCTCGACCTCTCAAGAAAATTGTAAAACGTCTACCGACAAAATCTTGAGCCTTCCCCTCATTTGGCGGAGACTTGCTTGGCCAGCCGATCAGAAAATTGGTCGCCGCCTCGCCAATATTGCGGGGGTGAGAGGGGGGAGGTTTAAAACCCAATCAAACCAGACAGTCTCACTATAACTACTCAGGGCTGGAAATACTGGGTACATGTGCACCTTAGTGCACCCAAATTTGGAGCTGTGCACACAAGTTTTCATCCTGGTTGTTACAGTTATTTCATCTTTCAATGCAATAGTATCATTAAAAGTTCAAAATTCATTGTTTAAATTTTGAACCAGCCTGGTGTGTTGACTTCATGGCTCCTATCGTACCATTTTGGGCCATAATAGGATGCCTAGGCCTGTTTTTATTTATTTTTTTTTTCTGCCCACCCACTCCATTATTTTTCTAAAAAAATCTGTTAACCAAAAAATTAAATTGGTGTGGCCTTATCAACTCTTATCCCAGCCTTCAAGCAGCTACTCGTGAGTTATGAGCTCTGAGATGTCCACAGGCCTTCATTTGGCTGGAATTCAAGAACAGAATATTAGCAGTGGTGTGTTTATAAAATGTCTCCAGGCTGGGTTCTTGAGGAGTAGCAGTAGAGAGGCAAGGAGTGAGTTATGACGTCTGAGATGTTGATAGCTGCTGGCCGATTTTATGAAGTCTGAAGCTATGAAAATATGGAGTCGTAGAGAGATAATTACAGAAGAAATCGCCGTCAAACCTACTTGTTGCACACAGCAAGCGTTGTATGTAATATTCATACTCCGTCATGCCTTGCTTGATACAGTTTGGCCGAGATATAAAAAAAAAAACCCGAAGTTTATCAGTTTAGTGTTCGTAAAATTTCTTAAGGCAAGACACAAGATTCCTGACATATAACGCAAGAGACGTCGGGGCAGCCATCCGTGAGATATGAAGTTTGAGATATATTTATGAGTTATATGGTAGTAGGGCAGAATCATGATTAGAACCAACCAATAAACACCTACTGAATGTAGCAGGCCTTTCTTTTCAATATTCCGCCCATGCAACATGTAACTTACACATGGCAAGCTGTAATTAAAATTAGAAAAACCTGAAATGTTAAAGATACCAATTTTACATTTGGGATATATCTGAAAGGTAATAAGGTTAATGTGTTGAACTTGTGTTCAGCTAAATGCTGGTTACTTTATGCATTTTGCAAAGATGCTCGACAGTCTGTAAATTTAGTTAAGAAAAACCAGTGAAATTTGTTTAAAGTTAAAACGTTTGGTCCAACACAAATAAGTTCTCTCACCTAGAGCTTTCGACCAGTCACTCTGGTCTTCCTCAGTAGACTGACCCAGTGAGGCTTGTCACGTGGCTTCTTTGAAGTGTAACGTCAACACTGGGTCAAAGGTATCTGGTAGACGATGTTCACTTTCACAATGTGAAAAGATGTTCAGTTGAAACAGCAGAGCAGCTATCATGAGATGTTGGTGGTTGCTCTGTACTGAAACACGTGAGATGAATTCGGCTGTCTGTCTGGGCTTACTGAGAGAGGTGCTGCTTTTTACCCAGTCCATTTGTGCCTGCGGTTTTGGACAGGTGAAAATCCTACTAATCTTTCAGGGACACAACTGGTATCTCCTGCTGATGGAATGTCTGTGTGTTTTTTCTGTTTGGCAAAATGTATGTGGTTTGCAATGATTTCAAATTAAAATGTTATACAATTAGATGGTAGTCTTACTTCTCAAACTCAAAGACTTAATTCTATGAACCAGTGGTATGTGCATTTGTAATCCACAAGAAAGTAGGTATATAGATATCACTTAAGTCTGAAAAAGAAAAGGAAAAAAAATATCTAGCTAGCGATCCTAATTTTTTCAGGATTGGAACAGGAAACACAACATTTTTTCCTATGCCTATAAGACTAGACAGTATGCAGAGTGTGATACTTGTAGGTTCTGTAACTGATCTGTTTTCCCTGACAGCTAAGCTGGTCCTCAGGAGGGACTCTAACTCTGCTGTACTTTATCTACACACTGTGTTTGGGTTGGAATTAGCTCTGTGGAAATGGACTATAGACATAAGGGAGGGGGGGGGGGTCAAAACTACCTACCGCTTAGAAGTTAGATCTTTCAGTCATCTATTCAAGTACATACTCACAGATGTAAAGTCTGAATTGTATTGACTTTGATTTATTAGATTAATCAAATAGAGTAATAAAAATCCATACACAATTCTTCTAAAATGTGGCATAAAAATCAGCAAGGCTCAAGCCTAAGTTCTACTCTTGTGTTTTTAAACATTTCAAGTCATAAGGCCACACCAATTTAATTTGTTGGTTCTTGGATTCAGGACCTGTTTTTTTTTTCCCTGTCACTTCATATTTTTCTGAAAAATCATACGAGAACCACCAAATTAAATTGGTGTGGCCTAATGAAATTTCCTAATATTTACTTATTGAGAACTGTCCAGTTTTGGCTGTTTTCCATATCTCAGCTGACTGTAGTGACTAACACAAAGTGACGAGTACAAATTGGCGTTTTACTGGGAGGTTATTGGTTAATGGACCTGTGGGTCGATAAAGCACTAAATAAACCCCACACGTTCACGGCAATCGTTATCTTTCCTCGTCAGTGTTAAGCTAGCGAGACGTGTTAATGAGGTGGCAACTGTACGTCGTATAGACCCTTGTTAGTAGGATTATGTTTAATTACCCATTGCAGGCAGCATGGTGGTTCGTTTAGTTTAACATATGGACCTTTATACAACCTAAATTGATTAGTAAATGTTTGTAAATATCAAGTTTTGTAGACAATCGTTTTCTTTATATAAAAAGATATCTCAGAATTCGGACATTGGAATTGATGTTTTTGCATTTTTGGGTGAGGTATAACGTTAACATGCACCCAGTATTTCAAGCCCTCACTACAAAGTTGTTTCAACTTCCTTTTCTCCTACTACTGCAAAATTAAGTCCCCACAGTTAGTTACCAAACATGGCAAACTTGTACCAGGCCTTACTTGTAAGAAGTATCTGCTCATTTCCTTCGTTCCAAGAATTGCCCTGAGGTATTATTGAGTGACTTGTCCCAGCTGCTGGTATAGATATGCCAGACCCTATATTACATCAGTCGCTTCAATGTCTTCATTTCGGTATGATTGAAACCTCCGGGTTTGTATCTTGTCGTGTTTCTCCCAGCTTCCTCTTTCATCTTTTTCTCCTTGCTTGGAGGAGTTTCAATCATTTTCGGAGGAAATGACTTGATGTTAAGGCGTGATTTTTCTTCACGAGAGTCACTCAATCAAATCCGACGTTACAGAGCAGTGAAAAAGCCCAGAGGGGAAAAGTGAGGACTCTCACGCAATTCCTCTACAGGACTAGACATGTGTAAAAGACTGGTGTAATGGTTTGGGCAGGAATATGGAGTGCTTATGCCACACCAATTTGATACGTTCGGTTGTGGGATTTTGAAAGAAATACTGAACTAGCAACTCAACATGAAAAGATTAGGAGACATACATTTGTAGGTAAAGTGGATATAGTCAGTTAAAGTTGCCTCCTCTTTTCATTTTGACCTGTAAAAATGTTAGTGGGTGAAGTTGTAAATCCCACTCACTCAGCATGGGGGTTAACCTCTGGCCTTGGGGGCCTT